ACTCCCTGCCTCTTTCCCACTCCCTGCCTCTTTCCCACTCCCTGCCTCTTTCCCGTTCCCTCTTCCTTTTCCCCTCCTTTCCTCTTCTCCTTTCTTTATCTCTGATTTTGGAAGCCAGCGTAACAACCTGAGTTTGTGATCTAAACACAGTGTTGCTGTGTCCTGTTACACCTCCAGGGGTTGTGTGGTGGAGACAACGAGAAATGAGGCTCAGCTACCAAGCTGGCTGCAGCTGTATGGTCTTCAGAGACCTACTTCAGAGCGTGAAGCCACTTCTGAAACCACTGCCGAAGGACTTAGTGGAGACTGATATAGGAGCTACAGTGAACCACTTTACTGTAAGTGAACTTTACCAATTCTACATTCCTTCAAACATCGTTGCTACTGTAGGTAATAAATTATTGTACTGTCTCATATCAAGTGTATCCCTATCCCAGAATAGTATCCCCAGTGAGTATAACGTGAGTGATTCTTCTCTAACAGAGCATCTCTGCTGTGTTGAGTGTACTGAGTCTGCTCCAGAGCTCACTACCACTCAACATTTTTAAATGGAGTAAAGTGGTCTATTGAGATGTGAGGGCCCCTGTGACCCTCCCCTCGTATGACATTTCCCCACTTTTCTTCCCACTTCCTCTTCTCCCTCCTTTCCCATTCTCGCATCTTTTTCTCCCATCTTTCTTCTTCTCATTTCTTATTCCAGCCTCTTCCTCCTTCCCTCTTCCCACATACCTTATCATCCTTCTCCTACTCTCTTGATCCTGTTCCTTCCTGTCTGTCTGTTTGTCTGTGTTCTCTCTTGTTTCTCCCCGCACGTTAGTCTCCCCTCTTTCCTGCTTCCCCTTCCTACATGGCAATTTTCAGTGCTTCCCTCTGATTCTTTCCCCTCGGGCTCCCTGCCAATGCTCCCAATGCCGTTGTTACCATTGCTGCTACCATTGCAGCAGCAACGGTAATAACGGCAACAGTAGCAACCGCAACAGCAAGAGCAAAAACAGCGGTAGAAACAACAATTGCAGCAGCAACACTAACAACAGAGGCATAATAGTAACAACAGGATGAGCGATAACAGCAGCAACAACGGAGACTACAACGGAAAATCAACCAAATCAACCAAGCTGTGATGGACATGTGGATCAGTGGCCGCCAGCAGCAACAGCCTGGTTGACCAAACGCCAGACGAGCCTGGCGCAGGGGGGGACTGCGGGAGTAGGAAAACTCGCGAAGCCGACCACGGTTATATCTCAGACTTCATAACAGCAACAGCAACGGCAGAAGAAACAACAGTATCAGTCCCAGCATTAAGCACGGCAGCAACAGTAATAATAGCAGCTGAAACAGTAGCACTACCAACACACACAACAGCAGCACCAATACAAACAACAACAACAGCACCAATATAAACAACAGCAGCATCAACACAAACAACAACAACAGCACCAACACAAACAACAGCAGAACCAACACAAACAGCAGCAGCAACAACAGAAGAAACAACAGAAACAGCAGGAGCAGCAACAGCAGTAACAAGAACAGCAACAGAAACAGCAACAATAACAGCAGCAGCAATACAAACGAACAGCAAAAGCCAAAACAGCAGCAGCAAAAATAACAGAAGCAACAATACATACAACAGTAGCAACAATATCAGAAGCATCTGTAGCAACAGTAACAAAAACAACAGTAGCAATAACAGAAATAACAACAGTAGCACATCTCAAACACTCGGGTGATTTTCTCAATCTCATTCGCAACATCAACATCAGGAACAAGAAACTTTCCAGCCTTGACGTAACATCCCTATTCACCAAAGTACCTACTACACAAGCCATCGATCTCTTGCGCAGGAAAACTGACGATTCACTTGACCTTCCTATTCCAGCGAGCGATTTCATCGACCTTGTTGAACTATATGATGGATATACGTCTTTCTCTTTCGAAAATCACATCTTTCAGCAGACTTTTGGACTACCCATGGGTTCGCCACTTAGTGCCGTCCTGGCATGGAACACCTGGAAGCCGAGCGATTTTCCTCTATTATTCCCTCTTCTGTCCCCTAGCTCCGTTACGTTGACATTCTCATCATAACTCCCAGACGCTTCACGTTCAAGCTCTCCAACACAAGCTCAACCAGGTCGAGTCCTCAATCCAGTTCACACTAGAAGAAGAAGTCAACAACGCTCTTCCTTTCCTTGATGTTCTTCTCTGCAAAGTTGACCAAGAACTTCGTTTTAAAGTCTATCGAAAACCTACCAACCAACATGATCTTCTCCACTTCTACTCTCACCACGACACCAAAACTAAGCGTGGTGTAATTATAGGGTTTTCCTGCGTGCACTCCGAATCTGCAGCAGTGAGCTCCTTGAGGAAGAATGCAGACGCCGGACATATAACATCTTTAACACACCCAGAGAAGACACCGCCAAGAGGAGATACATAGTCCTCCCCACCAACTCCATTGCCAAACACGTTTCCAACATCTTTTCCAATACCTCATTCCAAG